AGAAGGAGAAGGAGAAGGAGAAGGAGAAAAAGAAGAAGAAGAAGAAGAAGGAAAAGAAGAAGAAGAAGATGGGAAAGAAGAAGAGGAAGAAAAGACCCGACAACGCAAATATTTCTCTTTTTTTTTTCTGTAGCAACATTCTGTTGTTCCAAATGACTTTTACTTTCCAAGTTGTCATTTTAAAAACTGAGATCCACTAAATTCATGATAACTATTTGGCGCGAAACTATTCATTGTATTGTTAGCTGTGACTTCTATAGTTTGGAACCAGAAATATTTCTGACATCRTGCGCGTGTTTATTAGCTGCAGGCACGTGTGAGTGTATGTAATTCTCGGTTACTAGGTCGCTGTCTCTTCGAACTGTTGTTAGGTAATAAGAAAACAACACTATTTGCATAATTGTTTAAAATGAAATAATCTATTGTGTTGGCATAACTCAGTTTGGTCTCGTGGGGATTAGTGGTGTTCAGCTCGACTTGGGTTTAGGTTTTATTTATCCACACTCATCATAACCTTGTTTGCTCGAGCTATATGGTTGTCAAATGTCCTTGCACGCTCCTGTCACATGCAACTCGTGTTCCTCGTTATAAAAGGCGACAAACACCATCTTTTTTCTTCCCAAACAATACCTTACTATGGAACTTGAAAAGTCAAAGTGAGAAGCTATCACCTATAAACTAGAAGTTATTTTAAAACAGGTCGGTCCTGAAGAGAACGAATCAGGGTCACACAGCTGGCCAATCAGTACTCTATCCTTAAGTCTCGAACTCCTACATATTCTTTTGTCTTGAGTAAACAAGAGACCAAACAAATCCAATCAGACATTGCAGCAAGTGCCAGGAAAATCATATGGCCAATCGTCGGTACACCAACGTGGTGTCGAGACAGTCTTTTGTACTGAGACTTTAACTCTTGAAAAATAAAAAAGCACGTAATGTGTTGTAACTTTGTTTAGTATCGTGTTTTCTTTATCCTAGTTGTTAATCAGCAATGATTTTCAAAGTACTTCTTAAAGTTTCTAGACATGGGGTTTTGTATCGAACTAATCGTGGTTTGGACATTGTCGGCTATATCGTCCCACACCGGCCAGGAAGGCTAGGGGGGAAAACGTGCGTTCAGGGGAAAAGTTTCGTCCCTGCTGAATTCGAACAGTTTACAAATATTTCAATAACGATTTTGTTCAAGAAATTCTTTGAAGAAGTCATTTTTCTTTAATGACGTTTTAATTAAATAAGTTCTGAAATTATAAAATGTTTTTAACAGGTTTAGTCTCGTCTTTAGTTTCTATTG